TGGTCAGTCTGCTGGCGATCCAGGCACTTGTTATAGCACTAATAATTTTTTTTTTAAAAAGATATACTTCCTCGAAAGTTCGCACCAACTTAGTTATATTCAATTAAATCAAACGTGTATTTCCACGTATTCCTCATCGAACAGCAAGTAGATTAACTGATGAAAGAGAATAAAGGGTTCAAACATGTGGTTATTAGTATCTGAACGCCCAGCAAGAGCATAAATTTGGCGTCTTGCTGCGTAAAACCACGCAAGGATCTCACCAATATCCTGAACTTACTGACCAGAACTAACAGAGTGCTATTTCAGGAGAATACTGCGCTTCACTACGCAGTATCGCATGGTAATTTTGCTGTTGTTAGCGTTTTGTTGGATTCGCGGGTATGCAATTTGGATCGCGCTAATAAGGTTTGCTCACGATTTTTTTTTAAGGAAAAACCGCGTTCAAAAAATACAGGAAAAAATGATGCGCACCCAATCAACTGTACGAACACCCATTTTTACACAGCTGTGACCAGGCTTCCACTGGAAGAACTGTTGAGGGAGTAATCCCTTCAGGAGACGAAATGAGTGTAAGAATAGCCAGTAGGCTAATCAACGGGCAACTCACCACCGGTCAAAATAGAATTACCTGGCTGGCCCAAACTACATGCCCTCTGATATATATGCACACTTATTTGTGTCAGCTGTTGTTTCTTCGTCATTTTTCGTCCCGTCATCGATGCAGCGCTGGCACTTTCTCCATTCTTCTCTGTTTTGGATCTTTCCTTACCTCATTTGGTATAGCTGTTCGGGCAGATCATTTCATCGCGACGGGAACCCTCATTGATTCTGCTAACATTGCCTAATTCAGAAATTTCTAAGAAATTTCAGGAAGTTTTATGCAAAAATTTGTTTCGTATTCCTGCCAAATAGCAGTTGAAAAATGCACTTGAGAGAAGCTCTGATACGCATTTTATAATAACAGAAGGTAAATTTAGGCTGGATATACAGCGGTAATGCTTGCAGCGCTGTGCGATGCATCCGATGAGCTCGAATCGGCTGTCATTCACAGGCTATTTCAGTTGGGTGATATAAATGCTCAAGCTGTGCAGGTCTGTGAAATGAGAATCAAGTTATACAAAAAGTGGAAGAATTTGTTTTCTCCAAATTTCCGTATCGAATCTCTTCTGCTCGCATCACCCATTCGAAATATTGAGCCAAAAAAAACTTTCCTTTATCCAAAAAATGAAAGGAGAAGTTTGCTTTCAATTTGTTTGCTGGATTTCGCTTGAGCAGCTTATCTTTGTGTTAAAAAGTGCGTAAAATAAAGGGTGAGAGAGAAGAACCAAACTAATTTACTAGCGGAGATGCCCAGAAGGAAACAGCAAAACCCAA